GGCATGACGACAACCAAGCTGATGGAGCAACTGTGTTTTAGCAAACAGACGCTAAAAGGATCAGAATCTCGAAAAGCAGCTCAAACATCAAGTTAAATGTGGAAGAACTCGTCAGCTTCTGAATGATGCTCACCATGTGACGAATCAGGCAGTCGGTCAGTGTTTTTAATCATCCTCATACTGCCCACCTCCCAGCTCCAGAGACTGGACACAATCCACTGAAGATGTAAGAATGAGCTGAATGTCCTGTTTACTGTTATCATGAAAACTTAAACACCTTGAAATCCCTCTAACAGCAGCTCATAAGACCATGATCTGTCCGTCCCTGCTCAGAGTCGGAGCGCTGAACTAGGATCAGATTCCTCTCGTCTTCATTATGGCTTTACTGACAGTAACAGATCCCAGATCAGCGCTGCTGCTCTGAGAAGGTTCATGTGGAAACACAAGCGTCTGCTGTGGTTTCCATTAAACAATGAAATCAATAAATGAATGATGTTGTTTAAACCGGCGGTAATGTTTTCATCATTTGGCGACTGTTACCATGGTAATTCAGTTAACCATCACCGGGCAGACCATCTGCACAACACTAACGTCACTGAGAGCAGTGAGAGTGAGTCCTCCAGAAAAAACTCAAAGATCAAAGTGAACCAGAGCAGCGTGTGTGAGAGCAGATGTTCCCCAACAGGTGATTCAGAGCTGGCACACAGCCAGCACACTGACACACTCACCGCATACCATGACGGTGATGTTATGGGATGTTATTAGATCTGAGCAGAAGGAGAATCGGCTCTGATGGTCTGAGTTTTTTACCGCACTTTCAGCCTCAAATCAGACACACTCTGCCCGAACATTCTGTACCAAACTGCTGAGCCATCGGTTTACGGGCTCTGTGCATGGAAAGACCCAGAATGCACTTCTCTTCCTCATGCAGAGGTATTTTAGGGAGAATCACACAAAATATGGATGGAGATATTAATCATATAGCTGATTCCACTGGAGGGACAGCCAGTTTGTGTCTCTTGAAAACCAGCTGTAAATTTGCATTAGTATCTCAAAAGCATGTTGCTAAGAGACTTACTTTAACAACAGCAGCAGCCCCAGACTAACGTCATCAGAACCGCCATCAGAATGACACTGTTCCACTCTGAGGATCAGAATACGCCACGATGGAGTTCACAATCTCTTCATCACTGAACTTTCATTTTCTGTTTTGCCTAAAGTGTTATTTTGAGCGGTTAGGGGATGGGGCGACGCCCGGTTTGTGCATCGTTAGTGAACTGAAGGAAAATTTCAGATGCATTGTGAGCACCTGAGCTTGTCTACACACGATCAGGCATAACATTAAGTCCACCTCCTTGTTTCTACGCTCACTGTCCACTCTATCAGCTCCACTGACCACATAGTCTCACTCTGTAGTTCTACAGTTACAGACTGTAGTCCATCTGTTTCTCTGATACTTTGTTAGCCCCCTTTTACCCTGTTCTTCAGTGGTCAGGACCCCCATGGACCCTCACAGAGCAGGTACTATTTGGGTGGTGGGTCATTCTCAACACTGCAGTAACACTGACGTGGTGGTGGTGTGTTAGTGTGTGTTGTGCTGGTGCGAGTAGATCAGACACAGATACATTTGAATCATTCACACACTTTGAACAGTATTTTCCCAGCATGCACACAGTCGTACGTGCCATGAAAAACCTGCATGAACACCAAAACTCAGTCCTCAGTTTCTGAATCATGGATAAAAATATACTACCTCCAACTTTTTCTCTCATAAAAACAGAAAATTCGACCAAAAACACGAACATTCTGCCTTGCTGGCGGTGCTGCGTCACTTTTGCATGATGTTTTATGTTTTAAGTCACAAAACTAAGTCAACACAACAATGTAATCCGGACGTTGCTGTATTTCACTGTATTTCACTGTATCAGCTTCTGTTCACACGTGAGATCATTTCCTGAGAATCTTACCAAGTCTGCTGCAGGTAAACCGTCGATTCATAACCTTTCCTGTTAAACTCTGGTAAAATTCCAGATAAAAGTGCACCAGAGTCCAGACCCCCTGCACAAACAGACTCCCCAGCAGACAGACTGAGCTGTGGTGACGAGGTCTGGTACCTTAACTGTGCATGTGTGCAGTACTAATGACGTGTAGAAGTGAGCTGATGTAAACAAGCTGAATTCTACAGTGAGGTGAGACATTCCCCAACACAGTGACCCCTGACCTCTGTACAGCACCTTCTCTACTGTAAATAGCTCCTGCAGCTGAATGTTGTCTTCTAAAGCAGCACTAAGGCTTTAGCACTTATAATATAGCACATATGATCTTCTTTACTTAAATCTCTCAGCCTCAGCATTTAGCAAGAATTCATGATTTTATGTTGTTTTCATTCATCGTTCTTTCACTACAATTCCCAGCACGCATTGCGGATACATCATACAACCATAGATTCTTTTCACAGTAGGGGCTGCAGGAGTTCAGGTTTTTTAAAGCTGACAGTTACGTGATGAAAGTTGAGTCGTTGCTGTTGATAACGCCGCAGGAGAAGGGAAAGCTTTGCAACAAGCGACTTTAAAAATCCGGGATGAAGCCAAACTCTCCAGGTCGTAGAGCGTGATTCACCAGTACCAACAAGCCATGGATCGCATTGCTAGCCTTCAGGAAAACAGAGATAAGGATCCTGGAATTTCGCAAATCTGCATCCGACCCTAGCAGGCCTTGCCAAGACGGTTGCCCCCGGCGGAGCTCCAGAGAGCCAGAGAAATTTAGAGCACGGTAACTCGGCGAAAATAAGAGTAACTGACTTCAAACTGTACACGATTACAGGTCGTTATGCCCCCTCTCCAACCACACAGGACTTTTTATTGGAGTCTGCAGGAAACCGGAGATAACGGAGTTCTGTATCTGATCTTTGAAACTCCGTAGATGTCCTTCGTTTGATGGAGCAGTTTTTATTTTCAGAGAGGAAGGAGCTTGACGGGGTCTACAAGCTCTTCTTCTAGAACCTGCATGACTACGAAGGTAGAGATCTCACACTGAGTTCAGGGCAAATGGAGCTCAGAATCTCTAACTTCCTACCCGAAAGCCTTCATGCAAACTCAACTGTTTGAGGTCGGAAAAATGAGCGCTTGTTTGGCTGCTGTGCGTATATCTGTTTAAAAGCATTTGCATGAGAAGTAAAGAGGTGTTTATTTAGTGCTTCATTTGTAGTGAATGTAGGCTTTATGGGAGCCCACCATTAATATAACAGCCAAAAATGTACAGATAAGTATGCAGTTTGATGAAAAATCATCCACAAAACAGCTCAGTCCTACAATTATCCCAGTATTCATCTTTGTTTGTTGACATTACACACAAACAGCATCTGATAAGCAAACAACCACCTTTAAAAGTTCAGCTCAAAACACACTGAGTGTGTTTACATGCACTCAATAATCTGATAATGGCAGAAAATCAGATTTTGTCAGTAATCTGATCAGCACGTTTACATGCTCTTGAGTAATCAGATAATGGGGAAACTCTGGGTCTACATGAGTCAGACAGTAATCAG